AGGTGAGAGTTCCACTTTTGTGATTAGAGAACATTTTGTGTTCTTCCTTCAGCCAATAGTGAGGAACCTCATCCCTCATCCTGCCATCTGCTACCCATTCAGTGCTCTCCCCAAGGGAGCCTTAGACTTTTATACTCACACCTAAACATCCGCTCTCCCCAACCTTGTCTATTCTCTCTTCTATCAAGCTCTTTCTCCCTCTTTAGCCCGCCAACCCAGACTCACCAAGGGAGGAGCAAGAGATCATAATGGCTTCTGTGGACCAGAGGTGCTCACAGTAAACATAGGGACTCATCCTTCCACTTCCTAATCATCTTTATAAACCTGGGTTTCAGGAGCCAGAGAGGTAAAGAGGAAAGTTAAAGTGAAGATCTGGAAGACAATGAGAATTCCAGGGAAGGGAAGGATATTTCCATTTCTCACCATAAAACAGAGCAAGCCAGTGAGGAGGTATCAATGCTGACTTGGCAACTAGGTCATTTGAATCTGCAAAGGAAAGTTCCTTTGAAGAATTGCCTAGGAGTGCAGGGGATTCCCTGGTTTGAACGCTCCTGGGATTTCCCAGGACATACCCCAATTCGTTGTTGTTTTCTTTTCTGTCTGGCTTGTTTACTTTTTTTTTTTTTCTATCACTCTAATTCATTGTTGTATTTTGGGTTCTTTTCAGGGGTTGCCAAAATTTTTAAGTTCTAGATTCTCCCCCTTTCTCACTTAAGTAAGCATACGAACATTTTTTATTTTTTTTTCCTACTAAGAAGTATGGAAGTAGAGAAAATGGTAAAATAACAAACTTGGAGAAGTTACAAAGTTATTTTAAGTATTAGCTGCTTGTAGTGGTGATCATTCTGGAGTCTCACCTATCTCTACGCTAAAGTAAGTTATCACTTGATTAACTAACAATCAGCCTCTGACCTCTTTATATTCCTGGGGCTAGGGATCCTAAGTTTACTTCAATAAAGGAAGACTCCATTTCTGTCTCCAAGAGGTGCCATAGGAAGAATAATCCATAATATTAGGGAGCAAGTACATCTATAAATCTCAGGGAATCTGCAGGCAGAGCTATTTGTCTCGTTCCATTTCTCCACAGTGGGTCCCATGTGATTACCATAGCCACCTCTGAGGTTATCCAGGAGCAGCTTACGCCACAGCCAAAGCTCCAAAGCTACTCCACAGCCAGCCCACATCATCAAGACCTAAACAATAACCTTGGTCTGAGTTCCATGAAAATATCTAATTTGCTGATCTTACAGTATTATAGGAGGATCAAGTGAGATATACTCAGGGAGTTAAATTAGCTCCCTTCAAATGTAAATAAAATGATTCATGAATTGAGATAGAAACATAATTTACAATTATCAAATATTGAACATCCTCTCTGGCAATTACAATGTGGGTGAATGGAGATACGGCCATGAGGGGCTGGGTGAACATCCATCTCAGCATCCACCACGTGGAATCTCTATCTCAGCCCCATATTCAGAATGCCAGATCAGCAAGTAACCCAGCTCCATTGTGTGGAGTTTCATAGGACAAAGGCCCCAGCATAACACAAGCCAGCCTAGCAGCCCCTTTGGCTAGCTCCTGAGGGCCCCCCTTCTCTCTTTTTCTCTGGTTATGCTTTGCTGACTGCTGACTCCTGGCAAAGTCCAGAACAATCACCACACTCTGAGTGCATCATCCCTCTCGCATCTATAGTTAAGGGCTCCAATTAGCACTTGGATCCGGTGAGAACCCCCACATGTTAGAAATGGCGTAGGTAATCTAAGAAAATAGACTGACCCATCCTGTCCTTGCCTTCTCATCCCCTCTTCTTCCTAGAGAGTCAGATAGGACTCCAAGCTAGACAGATCAATGCTCACTATGGTTAGAACCTGTCCTAAGTACTTAACAGTATATGTGTTATTTCAGGTACTGGTTTTCCCTAGGATTGCATCTCAGTTTATTGCCTGTGTACTCTAGTTAACATCCTCTCCTCGGATGACTTCACCTATTTATGTGACTTCACCTATTTCATTCTCCCTCAAAATTATATCAGAGAACATTTTTACCTGGGTGTTCTGTAGATCCCTCAAATACAGCCTGTCTGAAACAGAATGAATTATCTTCCCCCATTCAAACATGCTTTTCCTTTTGTATCCCTTCATTAAATCAGAAACCTATGAATCAGACTCCTTCCTTGAATCCTCTCACTCCCACCTACCCAGTCACGTAAACCCTACCAATTCTACCTCCTAGGTGGCTTAACCCTCATTATGTCTCACCTGAGAACTCTAGTTGACCTCAGTTGACCCTGTTTCTGGTCTCATTCCCTCCAATTTATTCTCTATGTTGCTGCCAGTTTTATCCTTATACAAGTACAGGGTGCCTGTGTGGCTCAGTTGGTTAAGCACCTGACTTCAGCTCAGGTCATGATCTCAAGGAGTCTGCTTCTCCCTCTCCTTCTGCCCCTCCCCTCAATTGTGTACACATGCTCTCTCAAATAAATAAATAAATAAATAAATAAATAAATAAATAAATAAAATCTTCAGTGAAAGTACCTGTAATTTGTCATTTGTGTCCCTTCAACAGCTCACGAACGCTTGAAAGACATTCTTACTATGAACACACAACTCTTCATAATTCAGCCTCTACTCTTCCAACTGTTCTCCATATCTCCCCAGCATGAGGCCCTGGCAATTTTATGCTTCTTGTGGCTCCTCAAACACCTCATTCTATTTCATTATCCAGTGCTTTAGCAGAAGCTGTTCCCTATGCCTTGAATGGCTTTTCCCCTTTTGTCTGTCAAGGGAAACTATAACTTAATTATTAAGCATGGAAATGTTAAGGATTAACTATTGTATATTAGCATCAAGGTAAGTAAATCACCTGAATGGTGAAAGTAAATTTATCAGATGGATGGTCAGTCTGTGAAAGAATAATACAAAAGGCAAGAAGTTATTTTCCTGAGCAAGGAATAAAGTAATAGAGATATGTCTAAGTGACTGTGAGGAATGTGCAGTGATTGCTTCAGCTTTCACGATGGAACCTAAGAAGAAAAACTACAGGAACAGAATTTAAGAACTTTCCTCTAATTACCAGCAAAATGCAAAGTATTGATAGAGCAGGACTTTTCTGTAGGAAATCTGTCCTCCATGCCTTTGCTCCGAGGCTTAAGAGAAATAGAAACCTCTCTTCTCACACATTAGGCAGGATGTAAAGGCTGGACCAGGCTGACGCCTGTTGGAGAGAATGAGCCAGCCACCGCACTGCAATAACGGGCACAAAACTTACTCCCTTTATCCTCATTCATTTATTAATTAAAAAACAATAGTACACTTTGTGCTAATACTGAGGCCTTAGAGCACAGAGAATAAAGGACTTAATCCCCACTCCTAAGAGTTCTTAAGAACCCATTCATAAGAACCTAACAGGTGAGGAGGGGTGCCTAGGTGGCTCAGACTGTTTTGTTTTTTTTTCTTCTGCTTTTTAAAATATTTTATTTAGGGACACCTGGGTGGCTCAGTGGTTGAGCAACTGCCTTTGGCTCAGGTCTTGATCCCAGAGTCTTGGGATCAAGTCCCACATCAGGCTCCCCTCGCAGAGAGCCTGCTTCTCTCTCTCCCTGTATCTCTACCTCCCTGTGTCTGTCAGAGAGAGAGAAGGCATGTGCACAAGCAAGGGAGTGGCAGGCAGAGGGAGAGAAAGAAGCAGGCTCCCTGCTGAGCAAGAAACCCATATGGGGCTCTATTCTAGGACCCTAGGATCATGACCTAAGCTGAAAGCAGATGCTTAACCAACTGAGCCACTCAGGTGCCCCTGGCTCCAACCTGTGTCTGCCTTCATCTCAGGTCCTGGGATTGAGCTTACATGGGGCTCCCTGCTCAGCAGGGAGTCTGCTTCTCCCTCTATCCCTCTCTCCGCTCAAGCTCTCACTCACTCTCTCAGATAAATAAAATCTAAAAACAAAAACAAAAACAAACCCAAAACACCTAACAGATAAGTAGCTGCCTCTTTAAATGTTACATCCTTGCAGCACCGGGGAGACTGGGGAGTCCAGTTAGAAGGATAATGCAGTAGTCCAGGGGAAAAATAATGTGATTGGGGTTCAAGGATAATCAGGTTTTGGCATCCCCGGGTGGCTCAGCGGTTAAGCTTTGCCCTCGGCCCAGGGCTTGACCCTAGAGACCCGGGATCGAGTCCCACGTTGGGCTCCCTGCATGGAGCCTGCTTCTCCCTCTGTGTCTCTCATGAATAAATAAAATCTTTTTTAAAAATAAATAATATCTTTAAAAAAAAGGATAATCAGATATGTGACTAGAGAGACAAGTCAAGGACTTCCAGGTTTCGGGCGTGGGTAGTGGGCTGGTTATGGGTTGCAGATCACAGAGGTCCGGGAACCAAGCGAAAGAGGAAGCTTGTGTAAATGTGAGAACAAAGTTTTAGACCTGTTAAGTTTCAGGCTGGCTGGCGAGGGATGGGGCGTATCCGGGTAGAAATGTCTAAAAGGTAGACGGGCATACAAGCCTGCAAGTCAGTCCTTCTGCAATAACCCTGAAAACACAAAACCAATATTTATACTATTTACGTATTACTATTTATCAAACCATTTAACCTAGTGGCTGCTGTCAAGTTGTATTCTAGGCTATTCTTTCTAATTTTTACCAAGGTCTGGAGGGTGGTTATTTTTGTTTTACAAAGTAAGACACTAAGTCTCGGGAGAAGTTAAGTGATTTGCCCCAAGTCACGCAGCGGAGCTGCGTTCGAATCCTATTATTAATTCTAAAATCTATGCTCGACACCCTGCTACGCTACCTTTTTAAAGGTCCTCCTTGCTAAACGTGTGAGCAGCAGTCCCCTCGGGAAAAACAAACAAACCGTGCCAAGCCCGGACGCACCCACGCAGAACGCGCCAAGATGGCCGCCCCGTCCTGGGCGCGGGCCCCTACGTCATCACGCCGCGCGGCGGCCTGTCGCGCACCACGTCGGAAGGGGGCAGGCGGGCAGATGGCGGCGTGTGCGGCCGGGGGCGTGCCCTGTTCAGCCCTGGCGCAAGATGGCGCTGCCCTTCGCACGTTCGTTGTGCCTGTGCCGCCGGGGAGCCGAACGCTTGGGGCTTGCTGCCGCCGAAGCCCGCAGAGGTAAGACTATCTCCTCTCACTCCTTTACCTCCCAAATGGTTTCTGCATTCCCGGGAGCCCTTTTGGGTCATTCCCCCTCCCGATCTGCGTTGGTCTTGAGAGTCCAAACATGGGACACGGTCTGTTTACCCCGAGGCTTCCTCGAGCCCGAGGCCCATATTAACGTGCCCCGCTCTTGCCCGCTGACGTCCTGACGCTTTTCTGTGTACTCGTGAGCTCCCCGACCGCGGCCTCGGATCGTCCTGTGCACGTATCCCTAGGCCTACGGTTCTACCCCCGTCATCATCCAGTCTCTTTGCTCTGCTCGCAGGCATCAGTTTCAAACTGGAAGAAAAAACTGCCCACAGCAGCCTGGCCCTCTTCAAAGGTGACACGGGCGTCAAATACGGCATAGTGGGATTGGAGCCCACCAAGGTGGCCCTGAACGTGGAGCGCTTCCGGGAGTGGGCCGTGGTGCTGGCAGACACGGCGGTCACCAGTGGCAGACACTACTGGGAGGTGACGGTGAAACGCTCCCACCAGTTCCGGATAGGAGTGGCAGACGTGGACATGTCCCGGGATAGTTGCATCGGTGTTGATGAGCGTTCCTGGGTGTTCGCTTATGCTCAGCGCAAGTGGCACACCATGTTGGCCAACGAAAAAGCCCCCATTGAGGGCATCGGGCAGCCAGAGAAGGTGGGGCTGCTGCTGGAGTATGAGGCCCAGAAGCTGAGCCTGGTGGACGTGAGTGGGGTCGCTGTGGTCCACACCATACAGACCGATTTCCGAGGTCCAGTGGTACCTGCCTTCGCCCTTTGGGATGGAGAGCTGCTGACCCACTCAGGGCTCGAGGTGCCTGAAGGCCTCTAGCATGTCCCTCACTGGAGTCCCTAATTATGCTCTTGGCCAATCTCCTCTGAAAGTGAAACCTTTTAATTTTGCCACCAAGCAATCTCTAACTCTCAAAATTCAGTGTTGGGTCCTCTGTGCAATATCCTAGTCATCTTCTTCTCCCATACCCTGAGAAAGCTAGGCATACAGCCACTTTTCCCCTCCCCCAAGCCACTGCCAGTGTCCTAAGCTATCATGAGTGTACCTTGCCTGGCTGGCTTCCTTCAGTCCCTCTGCCTCCCTGTGCCCAGACCTGTCTCAGACTGCATTCAGTCCTGGGGTCTTAGCTTTCAAATTGTTTGAATGTATTCACCACTGTGATACCCTCTGCCTCCCTTTGCCCACATGTGATTTTTTTCCTTGGGGCTCTACAGGATCTCTCCAGAGTAAATCCTTTCTACCTCTGGCTGGAAGAGTGGTGCAGTCAGTGACTTGCCCCTTTACAGCGTATATGCAGTCTGGGCTCTGCCTCCCTCATAAAGTGCTTTACGGTGGCTGAAACCGAGCCCTCCTTCCCCAGTACCTCAGTGCCAGACTCTCAGCCCCACATAGCTGCAGCTGTCACCACCCACAGTCCGTCTGCCTTAATCTGCACACCTCTGACATCTGGTATAATCACTGGGTCAGTTACAACCACAACCAAAGGAGACAAGGTACTTTTGCTGCAGTTGGAACTTCCAGAGGGAGGAGGGATGCCTGAGGTCTTGCACAATCCATTTTTGGGCCTGCTCAGTCCCAAACCTCCAAGCATCAGCCCACCCCTGCAACCTGATCTCTGGCAGCAGAATACAGTTAGCCTACAGCAGTAGTTGGGGTTGAGAAAAACGTGGTGGGGTGAGTATCTATGTGAAATATGTATTGTTTGGGCTCTGTGGTTCCCTCTTACTCTACCTTTATGATAGTGATGCAGCTGGATGCCTCTAGAAGAGAGAGAAGGATGGGATTTAACAAAAATAATTTGTGTAATTAAAGTTTATTTGAGCACAAAATACTTTCTCTGTCTATAAAATTAGCAGTAGCAGCAGTACTTCCCAGCCAAGGAGGGCAGACCTGTCCAGGCTCTTAAAGCCTGGAACATAGCTGTCCCACTTCTTCTGTGGATATACACCTGTGCATGGTAGCTAAGACCTCTTTACCGGAGTATTTCTGTGTCTCCCATGATGGTTTCTTTAGGGAGAGGGAGAGGGGACCTGGGTGAAGACCTGGGATGATTTTAAGTGGGCCCAACCATTAGGGTGTACCTGGAAGCAGCTCATAGTCTCCGTGGATTGCTCTACTGCATGTGTCCACCAAGGCACTTCTCTATGCTCTTTCAAGGGAATGGGGTATTTTCACTCTCACAGGAAGCAGTGGCCTAAGTTTTGGTCCCCACTGAAGCAAGGTGGCTCTCCATAGCATGTTTGGTGGTTATGGATTGAGGGTGTGGCCAGCTCGTGCTTTTTCTGAGCAGGGACTGTGTGCATGTCCCATGCTCACACCATGCTCTCTAAGTTCTCTTTGGACAGGGCCTCAGCCGCTGCCTCGGCCTGAGTCTCAGATGGTGTGTAGGAGTCCTGGTAATCCTGCAGCAGTTTCACAACCTCCAGGTGGTTGAACTGCACAGCATCATCCAAGGGAACGTTGCCCCACCTAAAAGGAACAAAGACCATGATCAGGCAAAGAAGACACCAACGGTGCTCTGGTTACATCTAAGACTATGGTGGCTGGAGGGCAGTGGTAGAGAAGCTGTTGCCTAGCCCCTGCCCCCCTTTTAGCTTAATCTTACTCACCTGTCCTTGACAAAAGGATTCACTTTGCAAGCTTCAATCAGGAATTTAACAACTTCGATGTGTCCTAGGAATATGGGCCAAAGGAAAATGAGATAGTGCAGATTCTCAACCTTTTGGTGTTAACATTAGTACAGACCTCAGCAGCTGGAGCCTAAACGAAGAGGGAAGGGGGAAAGGCCTCTTCATTTTGTTCCCTGCAGCACCCAATCATAGTTGGCCTGCAAACCGCAGGGCATCTGGACAAAACTAGTTGCTGCCCCTGTAACCTTAAGGGCATATATGATAGGGAATACTCTTGGTAGATAGGAAATGGTCTTGGGGGCACTTGGCTAGCATAGTAAGTAGAGCATGTGACTCTTGTGCACACAACTCAGGGTTGGGAGTTCAAACCCCACGTTGGGAGTAGAGTTTACTTAAAAAATAAAAATAAACTATTTAAAAAACAAAAGAAAAAGTTAAGATCTGCTTCCCCTTTTATTTAACCTTCAGATACCTTCAGCTGCAGCAACATGCAGGGCTGTGCGGGAATCATAGTCTTTCTGTTCCATGTCCATGGCTGACAAGGCAAACCTGAGGGTAGTGGAAAGCATTTGGAGTTACCTAGATCAGCCTAGAATCAGTACTGTCTTTTCTGAGGTGGGGTTAGAATGGATGGGTTCCAGAAAAGTAAAACAGCTTGGTAAGATGTGTAGACCCTGCATAATCATGTTCTATACCCAGATGAGACTTCCAAATCAGACAGGGGTGGGATGCTTCCAGAAACATCACTGCCTATTCGTGGTAGGTGCCCAGTACGTGTTTGTTGATGTTGGTGATCTATTTGAAGCAGAGTCCTTACCTCCTAGGACTCTGCTCTTAACACTGAAGTTAATCATAACAGTGGCCGCCTGCCATTATTTAAATTCTTATCACATGGCAGTCACTGTACTTAAAATAATCTCATTTAAATGCAGTCTATCCAATCTATCTGGCTCTAAAGCTGAAGCACTTAACTATTTTGCTGTGTTGACTCATAATGAGATCTCTGACCAGGACTATTTCGTTGTTTATTTGGTACCTTCGAAGAGCTGAGACATCTCCACTATAGGCAGCAAATAACAGGTTCACCACAGTCTTGTTCTAGAAAACAAATACCCACCTGAGATTGTGACTCTGCGCTCACCCATGCCCAGCTTTGCCCTGTGACCCTTCTCCAAAGATGCTTAGCCAAGGGTATTGCTAAAGCATTATAGAATGTTCTATTCTGAAATATTCTTACAAGCCATCCGGGGTTTTCCTTACCCGAACTTCTCCCCCTTCACGCCGTGGGTCTAACTTCCGAGCACAGTGCCTCAGGTTGTCGTAGTTGTGGAAATTGAAGAGAGATACCAGCTTCTACAGTTGTAAGCCAAAGAGATTGTCTACTTACTCCCCGCACTTAGTAGGAGCTCAAAATTGTTTCATTTACTCATTCAAAAACATTAAGTCTTACATGCAAAGTAGCTCACCTGGCAGAAGCTGATGCCCCTATGGCTGTTCCCTAGCTTGTCCAGTGGAGGTGACAGACACATCATTCCCATGACATTGGGTACCACTAGGAGGATGGCTCCTGACACAGCTGACTTGGCTGGCAGGCCCACCTTGGGGATGAAGTTGAAACTGAGGATGAGCTAGAGGTACCCTCAAGTTCTGGATTATTAAATTGGTCTATCCCAGATGACTGCATAGGTAAAGTCACATCCATCTCAACCTCTTGGCTTGTTAATTAGCTTCTTACTCCTCTCCTGCCCTATCCCCCTTAAATTCATGGCTTCAGTAAGGAAATACTTGAGTGTCTGTGCTATGCCTGATGCTGCTCTACAACTAGGACAGTTTCACTGGACTTCATTCTGGTGACAGAAGATAGATGACCAAAAGACAAAAAAAATCATGGCTTATGAGAAAACACAGGAAAAAAGAAGTAGGGTGCTCTGATGGAGGATGAAGTGGGAGGGGGGTCCCAGTAGGAGGCAGGATGGTCAGCAAAGTCACTGAGGAAGTGACATCTAAACAGACCTGGAGGAGAAGCGGCCAGGTACACGATGGGGGCAGAGAAGGGTTCAGAAGCTGCACCATTATGTATTTATGTGTTTGAGGGACTCAGGGTATTTGACAAATTCCCCTAAGGATCCTCAGCCTAATTTTTTTTTTAAGATTTATTTATTCATTATAGACACAGAGATTGAGAGAGAGGCAGAGACACAGGAGGAGGGAGAAGCAGGCTCCATGCTGGAGGCCCGACGCGGGACTCGATCCCGGGACTCCAGGACTGCGCCCTGGGCCAAAGGCAGGCGCTAAACCGCTGAGCCACCCAGGGATCCCCGATTCTCAGCCTAATTGCCAGGTGAGAAGTTAGTGAAGGAGAGGTGGGAACAAGCTGCCAGCTTCCACCTTCAGGGACTCCATGTCCTCACTCCTTGGCTTGGAGCGGGTGGCAAATGGATGGCAGGGTCAGAGGTACTCACGTGGAAGGCAAACTGGCCCGAGAAGTCGTACATGCCGCAGGAGTGCATGAGGCTGAGGGTGTTGCGCACTGCTTCAGCACTCAGGACGCTCTCCCCCGTGATGGGGCAGATCCCGCCGTTGGCCAGGGTGGCTGCCATGACGCTGCCCGACTCACAGGTCACCTCCACGGAGCACAGCTACAGGGACAAGGCGGAGGTGAGGATGCCGTGTGGCTCTGAACGCTGTGTTCTTGCGTGCAGAACAATGTTCTTGGCATCCTGATCTTTCAAAAGGCTCCCCTGGTGTTTCTGCAGGACACTAACCACTAGAGAGGAGTATCTCTCTTGTGGGTCAGAGCAAGGATGGCAGTGTGTCCGTTCCCCCGGCCCCAAGCAGGACAGCAGTGTTTGCTCACCTGGAAATAGAGATCAAGAGCAGCCATCATGTCCACCCCCTTAGGAAAGCACTGCAAGGAAGAAGAAGGGAGAGCATTTCTCTTCTGCCATCAGCATACCCTGGCACACTGCCAAAGGTGTCCACCCGAGTCCACAACCCCATGTGCCCTTCCACCAGCTGCAGAATTCCCAGGGACTTTCTCTACCGGCCTCTCCCAGTTACCTTCTTTTCCTTTAGATAATAGCCGATGGCATAATTCCGATCCCCTGTTTCCTTCTCTGACTGGAATCTGAAGCAAACACCCAATTTAGTACTTGACGTTTGAGGGGTGGGTTTAAGAAGAAGGGGGAAAAATACTTTCCCCGAGAGAACTAGATCACACATGTCAAACTGAATCCTGTATAAATCCTCACAGGAATACCAGAGGGAACTTCTGACCCTGAGCAAGCACTCGGCATAGCTTTATTGTAAAGTGTAAAAAAAGAAACCAACCCCCAAACTGTCTAGTCATCTAGTCTGGGAAAAGTGAGGAGGTTCTTGGCTTTGAGAGGCTTGGCAAGAAAGGGCTGAGGAATAAACCCTCACACCGCCTAAGTACTAAGTAGAAATGGAACTAATTCTTTTGCAAAGTAAACAAATGTCAATGAATGGGCTCAGAGGAATCCAGGTGGCCAAAATTCCCCTGGATTTCTTCCTCTCCAGATCCCATCATCCCCCTCCTCCATCGTACGTGCACACATCCCACAATGTAGTCAGCCAATTCTGTGAACAGGGCCTTACGTGGCATTGCTGAAACCTATGTATTCGTTCCCAGCCATTTTGTTCAGATACTGTAACACCTAAAAGAGAAAAAGGGAGGGATGCCTGGGTGGCTCAGTGGTTGAGGGTCTGCCTTCGGCTCAGGGTGTGATCCCAGGGTCCTGGGATGGAGTCCCGCATCGGGCTCCCTGTGGGGAGCCTGCTTCTCCCTCTGCTTATGTCTCTGCCTCTCTCATGAATAAATAAATAAAATATTAAAAAAAAAAAGGAAAAAGAAGCATGAAAGGCATCATGTGGGTGAGGACCCCTAGTAAACACATACTAGCCTGACTAACCCTCCTGAACTCCTAGGTTCTTGTCGCAGCAGGAACTCTGGAGACTCTC